TGATCTCAGGAAGTGGGAGTGAAGAGAATCGGGCAGACTGGAGCACAAAGGAGGAAAAGCCAAAAAGAAAATTGGCAAGTGGTCACCACAGGCAGCTGCAGCTAAATTTTGTTGGATATCTAAGACATGTAAAGAATGCCTCCCACAACTGCCCACCTCGAGCATTTATTCAGTGGCTCTCATTCTCCAGTGGTTTTCCCTGAGGTTTTCCCTACTGCCCTGCAGCCCAGGCACTGTGCTTGATCCTCTGCTAAGCAAGCTCCTGCAACTGTGGAAACAGTCTTGCAGCACGCAGCACAGTTATGCCTCACGAGCACTGGCTAGTGGGAGACCAGCCACTACATAAATTCACTGAAACACAGATACATTCAGAGCTGTAACAGTGCACCAAGGATGTGTACTACACCAAGCTCTGCTCCCAAGCTGCTAAAATCAGTTGTTTTAGGACTGATGGATGTAAGAAGCATGGATGTAAGGAAGTACAAAGTCATGACTGACAGTGCCATAGAAGCTCAGAGTAAACCTGTCTCTACAATGTGGGAAATGGTACTTATTATTCAAAGTCATTGGCAGGACCAGATGAGATGGTACATGTGAACATGGCCAGCACAGATGCTAGCATCTAACGTGTGCTCAGTTAATGTTAGTTTCTACTCTCTGCTGGGCTAAGGTGCTGACGGTGAGGCAAATGGCCTTAAGGGTTCTTCCAGTTCTTAATGATTCTGAGACTTCCCCTGCAGGTTGTTAACTGTATTAGAACTCTTGTCTAGAGAGGAGCCCAACACAAACCAACTTAAAAAAGGAAACCACTATCTGAGAGTTCCAAGTTTATACTGCCCCCAGGCGCTGCTGGGTGCAGGAACTCCAATATGTCATTAGTACTTCCTCTTTGGGTTTCCTTTAGCTTTTCTTATGTTTCCTCTTTGCATCTAACAGGTTCACCCATGTTTGGGAGTGGGTTAGAGTAGATGGCTAAGATGTAGCCACAGAGAATTCCAGCCTGCATCATCTTCCACTGGTGACTTCAAGGTCCATGTATAAACTCTTGGGGAAGAGCTTGTACAGTTAGTGCTTGCTTCTAGGTTCATCTATCTACATGGTGCCTATAAGGTGGGGACTTTGATGCCATTGAAGCCTGATGGGTCACACAAGCTGGGGCAGAGGGCTTGTGCCAGAAAGGGGGTATGGAGAAGAGCTGCTGGCTGCACTCCTCATTTGTTTTATTTTAAAGGGAATAAAAAATAATAGATAAAACATAGAAATAATATAGATTTTTCAAAAACAAACCCCCAACAAGATAGGTATTCAACAATGGTTGCTATATTGCACATTGCTGTCTTCAGTGTAGTTGTTCAGATTACCAGATATAAGTGTGTAAAATTGGTCAAAGTAAACAAATGTAAGCATTAACTTCTCCCTTCACAAAACCAATAGCAATTAGTAGTGCAATCATCTTAGCTATCCTGTGTAGTATATACAAGCATGATTTTCCCCTTCTTTTTTCGTTCTTTTCTCCTTTCTCTCATCACAGTTGTTCATTCCTTTTGAGCAGTTTCTCTCTTTTTTACTACATCTATTGTACCTTTCAGATTTCATTTACTCATTATGGTTCTTACACTAGCAAGACAATCCGGTGTTTGCATATGTGAGTTTGATTTATTTCACTTCTGAGTATGATCTCTAATTGAGACCATTTGCCCATAAAAGCCTCAAGTTTGTCTTTTTCTTTTTTTATAGCTGAGTAATACTTAATTGTGTAAAAATACTACATTTTTTTATCCATTCCTCGGTTGATGGGCATTTGGGCTGTTTCCTAGATTTAGCAATGACAAATTGGACTGCTATAAACATGGGTGCACATATATCTCTGTAGTATGATGTTTTCAGTTCTCCTGGAAAAATAGCCAGGAGGGGATTCCAACAAGGTAAGGAAGGCCATGACTGAGCTACCAATACAGAGATATTCAGGAGAGGCTCCGGTAGAGCCGCCATTGCTTGCCACTTCTGTTTAATGGGAGAGTCACCTTGGTAGACTCCTACAGTCACACCATATTGGGAAGCAAGTTTATTTATAGCTTCTGCCCTGCCGGCAGAATCACATATTTCCACACAGGGGCTGAATGGGGGCCCATGCTGAGCTTCCAAACACAGAGCTGCTTTAGAACAATGGGCGGCTCAGCACATTCATTTGGTGTCAAACAAAGCCTGACTGTGTCACCCTCTTTCCCTGTGTGTACTCTGAGGTCCACAACGGAACAGACAGTGCTTTAGGGAAAGAAATAGGAAAAAGCTGTATCATGGTAGCACACTCCAGGTGTCTTAGACTCAGTAAAAAGCTTTTATGTGACCTTTTCATTTATTGCTATAAAAATAAAATTAAAACATTTTCAGATAAAGAAGTATAGAAACTATGTGTTATGATTCCACCCAAAACATCATTATATTCTACATGCACTTCCACATCCTTTCCTAAATACTAAAAACTGGAATGGGATAGAACTTGCTGCTTTCTAACATGCTTTCTGGGGGCCAGAGATGCAGCTTGGGGTGTAGCATGGTGCACATCTAGTTCAGTCTTCAGCACTGTAGTTTTGATCCTCGTTCCCGCAGATAAAAACAAAATTTGCTTTCTTTACTGATATATAACATACATAGAAGGCACAAAGTATAAGCAACTCATTGAATTTTTATTTATTTATAGTATTTATATGTTCCATGTTGGGCTATATCAAAATATATTTAATCAAGCCTCAATGGATGAATATAATCTACCAGTTGATTCTAGTCTGGCAAATATTTATTGAGTATCTACTGATAAGCCAGGCATCTTTTTACTAATTAAGGCCACTACATTATTTGTGTGTTATTATTGCCATTGTCATGGTGTATAACAAACCACTCTGAATTTTAAAAGTGACTTGAGGGCTGGAGGCGCAGTAGAAGAGGACTTGTCCAGTGTATATGAGACACTAGGCTCACTTCCCAACATCCCACAACAGACAAATAACATAAGCTAGTGACTTAAAAACCACAACCACTTATTTACTGTTGCTCTAGAGTCTGTGGGTCAGCTCAACAGCTTTGGTAAGAGGGGCCAGACTCAACAAATTTCACCTAGACCACTTGTGAGGTGAAAGGACTCCTAATTGATCAACAAAGAGGAATTCAATGACCCACACTGCGCAATGTGGTAGAAAGGGAAGAGGTGGAGTAGGAGAGGGAAAGTAGGGGAGGAAGAAAAGCAGGAGAGCAGCAGGAACCCTGGCCAACACCAACAACAGAAAGCTGCTCCCAAACCAAGAAATGCCTATGTTGTAAATCAGGAAATCTGGGTTCTAATAGTGGCTCTGCCATTAACAAACTGCGAGATTCAAACTGGTGGCTGGTGCTTGGGGCCTCCACCTCCTTCTCATGGGCTCGGGATCACAGAGCTCCTTTCCAACCCTAGGATTGTCTCACCAGCATATTTGTTTTTCTTTTGGCTTCTGGTGCTGAACAGCAACAAAGAGCAACTTCCAATGAAAATCTAGTTTGGCATCTGCTAAAAAATACAAGGAAAGAAGATGAAAGCATAATTTACTTTTATAAAAAGGAGAATTGTTCTTCTGGAATATTGAGTAGAAATCTTAATGAGTTAGCTGGCTGTCATAAATTATCTTTGGAACAAAGTACTGAAGTTAAAATAAAAGAAGAGAAGAGGGAGGAATGAAGGAGGGGGAGAGGGAGAGAGGGCTAGAAGAAAAGAGGGGAGGGGGCTAGCAAGGAAAGAAGGAAGGAAGGCAGGCAGGAAAGCGGAAGGCAGGCAGGAAGGATGAGATTTAGGCAGAGAGACTCAAGAAAAAAATTAACTAAAACTTTCCCAAAAATGTTCTTTGAGAAAAATTTTTCCCTCTAAATAGCATCATTGGGCTGTAAAATACCCAAGGCAGACCACTTTTGTATTGGACATGACATTATCATAATTGAGGCTGGCCAGAAGCCACTTAGAAATTCAATAATTATTCATCCCAAGAGGCTTTCCAAATGGTAAAGTAGCTTCTTAAGAGGAAATGAATCTGCATATTGAGCAGTGTATCAAATGTAATTGGAATCTCAGGAAAACAGGATCCTGAGTAGGTAGAAGAGCTAGGATAGAAGAGGTCAGAATGAATGGCACTTCCATGTTTGTCTATTGCCTTAATTATGATGTGAAAAAGTTTTTTGGTTCTTGTTTTTTTTTTAGGGAAAGGAGTGGCTTGGAGAAATTCCAAATTCATCAAAAGATACCTTCAGCAGAAGTTTATTTCCTTTATTTCTTTCCCACAAGCATTCAAGGAGAGCTGAGGAGATGCAAGAGACCTCTCTGCTTTTGCAGTGAGGGCAGTAGTGACTGATGTGTCTTCTGCTAATGGTAGTGGGCATTGGTCACCAAAATAGAATGACTGTGTTTATCAAACTGAGAAAGTCTGCTGGAGCTTCTCATTACCTTCCTATTTGGAAGATAAAGGGAGGGCTGGGGAGATGGGTCAAGCTGGAAGCACCCATGACACATTACCCTCTTCTTTTGTTAAGAGCTTGACATCCCAAAACCATTCAGCACACTGCTGGCTGATTTTCTCATCTAAGAATGGTGCTAAAGTTCACTGTAGCACTGAACCTGGGGGCCCAGGCTGGGGTGTCAGTAGATGTAGCTACCTGAGATTGTTTCTCCGGGCAAAGGGTAAACTAACTGTCCTTGGATCCTAGCTAAGCCACCTTGTTCATGTTGAGTAAATTCCTCTCCACCATTTAGAGGACTGAAGCAGATCACCAGTGTGCCTCGGCTGACCTGTGTTAGGGGTGAGCAAAAGCATGAAGCCCATATCTAGAAGAGAAGAGTCACTCATGAAAGATTTCATATTGAATACACACACACACACACACACACACACACACACACACACACACAGAGTTGTACCCAGTAGAGATTTGAAGGTGCACTGGGTCACTGGAATCAATACAAACTGTTTTTTTTTTTTAACCATGGTAAAGCGTGAACGCAGTCCCCACTACCACAAATTATGCAGTTGAGTTTTCCACATTTGGGGACATTGCAGGGATCAGCACATCTAGAGTGCAACGGATGAGCCTCACCCCGGGAAAACCACCTTCGTAATCATGGTATCTCCCCTACCAGGCAATATACGAACATATCTTAAAAGTTGAAGCTATACATATAATCTCTTTCTCTCTCTCTCTCTGTCAAAACTTGGGATTAAACTCAGGCCCTTGCACTTGAGAGGGAAGCACTTATTCCACTGAACAATCTCCCAGGCCCACATGTAGTCTCTTTACAATAAAAATATTTTAAAATGACTTGGGAAAGAATATTCACTCTATACCCATAGAATGAAAAGTAGGAAAGTGTCCACTCTGATTCTAAACTGCAGCATCTTGAGCAGCTGTCACTGGGACAGCTTTGAACAGTGCCATACTTCTTCCTGGTTCCCAAGTCTGACCTCTCTGTGCCTCGGTTCCACTTCTGCAAAATGTGATTGATGTAATGTGGATTTCAGAGATTACTGTAGACAGCCACTGTCATTACTGTTCAAGTAGCAGAAAACAAGGTATAGGACAGTCCATGTTTCATGTCATGGTTATAATTGCCATTAATTACTTCAGTGGTTAGGAGAAGCCACGAACATTGCATCTCCAGGATGCAGAGTTCATTACCATAAATTCTGTTGTCACAGTTGCTCACATAAAACACTGAGACAATCTCTTGAGCGTCATGATTAGTCAGGGTCTTGAAAGCAAAATCAAAGCTGTAAGTCTATCTTCCTGCTGAACATGTGTGAGGCACTCAGATTTGTGGACTCTCCTTGTACAAGATGAAAGGCTAGGCTTCACCAGCTGTCTGTTGGCCATCTGCCTATGGTACTTATAATTTAGCACTGCACAAGCACTTCTATTTAAGTAATCAAATTTAGTAAAAATGAGTAAGATCAGCCTCTCACCAAATGCAAACCCTGGGCATTGCTAGCCACAGCCACTGGGTCCATGTTTGTCAACAACTGGGCAAATAATTTCGTCACCTGTGTTTCTTGTGTCATCAGATGTTATGATGTTACTCTCATGGCACCTTTCTGATACTGGTTTGCTCTTTTGGTGCCGCCTGCTGTAAGAAAGCAGTTTGCTAAGAATCTTTTGGATTTTTCTCAGCATCATTTCCCTTTATAGGAAATGTATAGTGTGCATTGGAAATGATAGAAATTAATTTACACCAACTTGGTCAGAGAATGTTATATGTTCTATATCAAAGCACCTGGAAATATTCTCTTCTTAAGAAAAGAAAGAAAGAAAGAAACCAGGGGAAGGGCCAGGGAGATGGCTCAGTGGAATAAGCACTTCCCTGGCAAGCGCAAGGGCCTGAGTTCAACCCCCGTTCGGCAAAAAAAAAAAAAAAAAAAAAATTCTCTGCTTGCTCCCATTTCTAGGAGATGCCATCCCAAGGGTGACAGTAAAGTTTCTGGATGCAAGGTGACTATAACATGTTAGGATCTCTTACTCTCAAGAAGGCGGGGCCCTTGTGGTTGGACTGAGAACCAAATGTTGGAAAGAGCAATCAATAGTGTTCCTTGGGGCTGGTGAGATGGCTCAGTGGTCTAAAGCACCTACTTAGAACAAGCTTAGCAAAGCAAAGGGACCGTGGTTCAATCCCCCAGCACCACATGCCAGCCAGCCCTGCCCCCTGGTGGGCTGAGCTGGCCACACACACACACACACACACACACACACACACAAATAAAATATTAAAAAAAAAAAATAGTGTTCCTTGAACACTTACCAAGTGACAGGAATGGCACTAAGCCAGTAACATATATTTCTTCATCAGATACATATGACTACCTATATCATTGTTTGGTTTTGTTTTAGACAATATCTCACTATCAAGCTGGCCTTGTATTCATTATGTAACCCATGTTGGCCTCAACCTTACAATAGTCCTCCTGCCTCAGCCCCCTGAGTGCTGGAATTACAGGTGTGCACCTCACGCCCAGATATCTTCCTATATTCTTATCTCCATTTTATAATGAATGGGTCACTGAGATGCAGACAAGTCGGTTTCAGTAATCACAGATCTCTCTGACTCTGAAGGCACCCTTTAACCACATGTCAATTTGTCTCTTTGAAATCTTTCAGGTGAGCCAAGCCCCTCTCTTTTCTCTAAGAGATCATGCAGTTAAGATTCAGGATTGCCCATCTATATTCTTCACATCTGTGGGCACTTGTGGCCTTTCCATGTATGTGTCCAACACACAGAACACTTGTAAGACCAGAATCAGTGGTTAGTCTTTTTTTTTTTCTTTCTTTCTTTATGTGTGTGTGTGTGTGTGTGTGTGTGTGGCCAGCTCAGCCCACCTGGGGGCGGGGCTGGCTGGCATGTGGTGCTGGGGAATTGAACTGCGGTCCCTGTGCTTTGCTAAACTTGTTCTAAGTAGGTGCTTTAGACCACTGAGCCATCTCACCAGCCCAATGTGGTTAGTCTTTAGTAGCACAAATCACTTAACTGCTCCAGGGAGTCACTTCATTTGTGAAATGGAATATGAGGTTTTGTTCTGGATCCAGAATTATGGGCCCATGATTGCCATGATTCTGGATCCAAAGCAAAACCTCCTATGTCTTAGATTCATAGTTATAAAAGTGGACAATGAGGTAAACTAGCCCACTCTTGGCCTTTAGACAGGCCTTTTTTTTTTTTTTTTCCATTTCCATTTCACAAGCGTGGCAGTCAACTGTCACTGAAAACATTTTACCCAAGCAAGAAGTATATTTTCTCTTTAATTTATTGCTGTTTGAGTCACAGCTTCAGAGATTGGCAGTTGCTCCAGGTAATTTTCCTCCACTGATAACTGCTAACAATGGTCAGTAACGTTCTTTGATCTTTAACCTAGCATGTGGGAGTCGGCACAGTCGGCATAGCAATGAGATGAATCTTGGTTTTCACAGCACATCTCACATTTTCTCCACCTACCTGTAGTTTTACTCTTGTGGTTTAGGGTCTAGGGCTAAAATGACTTTCCTACTTAATTCTGTCCATGTCCCATCACTTTCAAGGTCAGTGCAAATGTCCCGTCCTCCCTGAAGACCTGCCAGATTGTTTCAGTTCAGATTTCATCTTTCCTGTTTCAATGTTTCTCAGAAATTTGCTCTGCTTTTTAAAGAATCCTAATGCCCCCCTCCCCAGTCTTCTTTGTACTGTTCTGTTGTGGTTCTCTCATAATTCTTACTAGGTTGTAGGAATCTTGAGGGTGAGAAATCTTGAGGGTGAGACTAAGCCATTTTGGTCCCTAGCGTATTATTTCTGTCCTTATATGATACAGGAAGCATTCTTTTGCCTTCACCTCTCCTTTCCTCTTCCTTCTGCTTCTTCCCCTTTCACTTACCTTTGTCCACCTCCTCTTTCTCTTCATTCTCTTCTTAGTCTTCATCTTCATTCTCTTCTTTTGTCATTAATCTCATAATGAGCACCTTACCTGTCCACCTGACCTCATCAGCTCAAATTATCTTCCAAAACCTTTGCCTTCAAATACCACTCCCTTGGAGGGCTAATGCCTCAACATATGAATTTTGAGAAAACAGAATTCAGTCTGCATAAGCACCTATACATTTATCAATTTAACCTAAGGGTATAGCAAGAAACTATACGGTAAAAAAAATCCCAGTTTTGAAATACTTCAAAGAATAAACAGTTGGGATTTCATCTTCTTGAAAAGTTTCTTCATGATGAAAGAAATCACCAACAGAGTAAAAAGAAAACCCACAAAGTGGGAGACACTTATAGCAGACTGTGCTTCAGGCAAAGGACTCCTATCTAGAACATACAAAGAAGTAAAAAAAATCAGGTCTCCAAAATTCAAAGACCCAATCCAAAAATGGGCATCTGAGATGAACATATACTTCACAAATGAAAAGATACGAATGACAAATATATAAAAAATGTTCAACATCATTAAAGGGATGCAAATTAAAACAATACTGAGATATGACCTTACACTAGAAAGAATGGTTATCATCAAGAAGTCAACCAATAACAAATGCTGGAAAGGAGGTGTGGAAAAAGGAATCCTTCTCCACTTGGTGGGAGTGCACATTGGTACAACCATTATGAAATCAGTATAGAGATTGCTCAAAAAACTAGGATTGGAGGTCCCATTCAAGCCAACTATTCCCCGCCTAGGTATTTTTCCAAAAGAACTAAAATCATTATACCACAGTGATATAGGTGTACCAATGTTTATAGCAGCACAATTTGTTATAGCTAAATCTTGGAAACAACCCAAATGTTCATCAACTAAGGAACAAATAAAAAGTTATGGCATTTTTTATACTATGAAGTATTATTCAGTTATAAAAAAGATAAACTTAAAGCTTTTGTAGATAAATGCATGTAATTAGAGACTATCTTGGTAAGTGAAATAAATCAGATCCACATGTACAAACATCATATTGTCTTGCTAATGCAAGAACCTAAAAGAGTAAATAAAATTAGAAAGATACAATAGATACTGTGAAAGGGAAAGAATTTGTTCAATAGGAAGGAAAAACAGGGATTAGGAAAAGGGCAAAAGAAAGAAGGGAAAAGATATATTAGATATATATGGGGCTGGGGAGAAGGGCCTGAGTGCTTCCCTGGCAAGTGCAAGGGCCTGAGTTCAATCCCTGGTTCCGCCAAAAAAAAAAAAAAAAAAAAAAAAAAAAAATGAAGTTAGATATACATGCAGATAGTTTGGGTAAGTGTACTGCTGATTTCTGCTGATCTTTTGAAGGGAATTGTTAATGCTTAATTTTTTTCCTTTTTATTATTTTTTTCTTTCTTTTGAATGTCTTATCACATTTGTTTTTTTCTTTAAACCAATCTTGAACACTTATATCTGGTAACCTAAACAACTAATTTGGGGATAACATCATGTAACACAGCAACGATTGTTGAATTCCTATTACTTTGTTCAGTAAAATTTTGTATTGTTTCTGATGCTGTTTTTTTCTATTACCATTTTGTATTCTTTAAAAAATAAAATCCCTGTTTCATTCAGTTTACATTTATTTTAGCAGCAAAAGTAAATAAAGTGTGCAGGCACAATAACGGCCCCCAAAGATTATGGAACATATCTCTATAACTTGTGGGTAAGTCACATTACCTGGCAAAGGGAAATTGGTTGCAGGTGGGATTAAGTTTGCCAGTCAGCTGACATTAATTGGAGAGTTCTGGAACTCTGGGCCCAGGGTCATGAATAGCGTCCTTATGGGCAGAGGAAGGCACAAAGGTCAGAGTGATGCAATAAAAGGATCTGATCTTTCATCACTGACTTTGAAAAGGAGAAAAGGCTACAAGGTAAAGAATGCAGGTGGCTTCTGGAAACTGATAAAAACTAGAAATGAATTCTTCCTATAGACTTCAAAAAGAATTCAGCCCTGCTAAAACCTTTATTTTAGCCCAGTGAAGGCTGTATTGCACTTCTAACCTCCAGTATTATAGCAAATCTGTATTGTTTTAAGCCATTAAGTTAATGGTATTTTTATCCTGCAAACACAGAAAACAAATGTGGCCAATAATAAAGTAAGTAGCAAGCAAATGATAGTGCATTCTATGGAGAAAATTGGACCACAGAACGTGGATGGGTGTGCCACAGAGGATGGCAGTGTTGTTTGTTTTTTGAGACGGACTTACAGTGTAGTCCAGGCTGGCCTCAAACTCATAGTGATCTTGCCTCAGCCTCTTGAGTGATTGGATGACAGGGTTGTGCTTCTCTTTTGAGAGAACAGCCCAAGAAACTAAGCAATCTTGTAGACAGGGGACACAGCAAGAATTAAGGCCCTGGGGTAGAAGTTTCTGTCATTTTTCACAGACGAAGAGGGTGTCATGAATATAGGCATTTGTGATAGGAAGGCTGGTAGGAGATGACATGTAGAAAGTTTGCCTAAATGCTACTGAATATGTTTCTAAACCATAAAATGTGTGGTAGGAATTATAAACTACCATAGTCATTTGACACTGCTCAATCAGTGCACTAAGATCCTTTCCTAAGGAAAGATATGCATGACCCAGTTCCCTTCCTCCGGAAGTCAGAGAGCTCCTCTGTGCAGACTCTTGCCAAGCACTATCAAGGCTTTGTGGATGCAGTTTACTTTTCAGAATCATCCTGTAGGCTGATAATTGCTCCCCGAGGTTACCCAGGAAGGTACTGAGGCCTCACGGTCGTAGGTAGGCCAAGATTGTGCCTTGAGAAGTGGTAGGCTGCAGTCACACTTCGCAAATCAGTCATTTCGTTGCTACCAGCATGATCTAGGAACTTAAAAATCACTTTCCAAGGGCCGGGGAGATGGCTCAGTAGAATAAGCACTTCCCTAGCAAGTGCAAGTGCCTGAGCTCAATCCCAGGCACTTGGTTCCACAAAAAAAAAAAAAAAAAAAAAAAAAAAAAAAATCCCTTTCCAGGGGATCAGGAAATGACTTAGTACTCTAAGTGCCTGCATGGAAAGCGCAGGGTCTTGAGTTTGAACCACGGTACCACATGCTGTGTAGTGCGACCCTGTATCAAAAAATTTAAAATCACTTTCCAAAGATTAATGCTCTGTCCTGTTCCTGTGTCAGTCCGCCTATAGTATTTTTCAACAATCTGAAGATCTTTAAGAATCTAAACCCTTCGCTTTTCCCTGGGCGCCTTCGGCATGGCTGCTCTTCCTGACGCCAGGCCCAAGAGTCTGCGTCTTTTCTGCAAGGTTGAGAGAGAGAGCCCTCTCAGCACACAGCCCACGTCTTTCCTACAGGCGGTCACACTTCTGGGGCCCTCGCGGTTGCTTTTGCACTGGCGGCCGCCAGGCGGCCCCTCCGGGCCCGACGCGCTGGGTGAGCCCGGCTGCGCGGCGCTGCGCAGCGCGCTGGGTGCTGTGGGGGCTGCCTCGGGCTGCGGCTGCGGCTGCGGCGGGAGCCCGCACGTGGCTCGGCTGGCGCTGCGCTTCCCGCTGGTGCTCACGCTTCTCTTGCGCCGGCCGCTGCTGACTCTGGAAGGGAGCCGACGGGGCCCAGGGCTGAAGGTAAGACCTCACCGAAAAGAACCCGCGCCCCGCGAGGGGAGGCGGCGCGACCACGCAGTTCCTCGATCGCGACTGCGCCCCGGCGGGCAGAAGTGCAGGGCGCACCTGGGACAGGTGCAGCTGGGGATAGGGGGGTGGCGGACCCGCTCCCGCCAGCCACCCGCGGGCTTCCGGGGTCGCAGTCCGCCGGGACCCGGGTCTGCGTCTTGGCTTGTGGCCGGCTCCCGGTGCGCACTTCCCGGGCAGGAACGAGGGTCCACTTCCTCCCCACCGGGGACCGGGGCCTGGATTTTTAAAGCTACTATACCAAGAAAACCTTCCTTTCCGGGTGCACATCTGTTCGAAGTCCTCCCGGACCGAGGATGCCTGCAGGGCGCACGCTGGCTGTGGGTGGCGGGAAGACAAACTTTTACAAAGTGCGTCTGGGCGGGGGACCCCGCGCGGGCGCCGGCGTCGCGAGCGAGGGCTGCGGAGGGGACTCGGCGCGTCACGCTCACCCCGGGCTGCCGGGGCTTCGTGGGGGAAGGGAAGAAGTTGGGAAGGAAGACAGGAAGCAGGAATCCGACTGGATTCTGAGGCCAAGAGCTGTCAAACATCTGCAACCTCAGCCCCTTCCTTTCCCGGTGCGGGAGGAGAAACTACAACTTTTCTTGCCCCCAGCCCACGCCCTGCGGGGCGGTGGAGGCGGCAGCCGCCGGCGTCTGGGGAGCCCCCGGGACCCCGGCCCGCCCCGCGTGCCTTCCCCTCCCCCTTCCGACCCTCTCCAGCCCAGCCTTTGGGGACGCGCGACGGGACCGGCGGGAATGGGGCGCGGGGCTGGGGCTTCTCCGCGTTTCCCCTATTGTTTGCTTGACCAACATCTGGTCGGGCTCCGGGAGGAAGGGAGCCCCGCTCGGGTGAGCGCGGCCCTCGGCTTCCCCGCCGGCCCGGGGCTGGGGAAGTCGCGGGGCCGGGCCGAGGCCGCCAGCCTGGCCCTGCGGGGCGAGGGCGGAGGAACGCGGCTCCTTCCCCGCCTCCGCGCCGCCGGCCCCGGGCGCCTCCTCTGATCCGATCCGGGCGCCGAGAGCGCGAATCGCCGGAGGCTGCGACTTTCTGAGTCCGGAGCTGGGTTCCGCCTCAGCCGAGGGTGTCCCGTGATTGGTTCCAGCGAACTTTTAGTCCTCAGCGCGAGGCGGTGCGGCTGGGCCGCGGCCGGCGCCGCGCAGAGGGTCGGGCCAGTTGTGCGAGAAGGGAGCCGCGGGCTGCGGTTTGCCAGGTTCCCAGGGCAGCACGGCAGGCATTGCCCCCGCAGGGGGACCGCGGCGTGGCCTCGGCGCTGCCGGAGAACTGGGGTCAGGGGCTCGCTCGGGAAGGAGTTCCGGCCTCTGGCAGGGCTCCAAATTTAAATTCTAAGCCCTCCCTCTGTGCTGTAGAAAAAGCAGACCACGAACACGTGGGCCAGACAAGGCCAAAGCAGTGTTTCCCAGTCCCTGGGAACAGGTGGCCTGGGATGGCCCTGAGTTCCCTGTAGGCCCCCCGCAAGACTGCACGTGGTCCTGCTTGTCTGTACAGGTTAGATACTAACCGGTTACTGCCTCTTGGTGAGTGTGGATTATGGAGGGATTAGAGCCAAAGCAAAGCATCCACCCAGCGAGGACGACCCCCGCGTGGGTCCAGACAGTCAAGGCGGCTGGGCCTGTGCGCCTCTTGGAACCTGTGTCTCCTCGTAGCCTTGCCCTTGGCTCGATGAGCTAGGCATTTCTGTGGGTGCCCAATCATACTTCCAAAGAGAATCCCTTCTGCCCCTTTTGCCCTCCCACCTCCATCTCCAGCGGCAGCTCAAGGGAGGAGGAAGCTTGGGTGGTGACACTTGTAAACATGCACAATTCAAACTCAAACCTCCTGCATGCTTAGGAAGTGCTCTGCCTCCGAGCTGCACCTCAGTACCCAGTCAGACATTTTAAAGTAGAAACTGTACTGGGATCTGCCCAGGACTCTTCCCTTTTACTGACTCAACAGAATTTTGGAGCTTCCATTTAACAAAAAACTAAACAAAATGAGACTGCTGAGTCAGGAATATGGACATAGAGGCAACTTTCTCTGGTGACTTTTGGATATTTTTACCAGTAAGACCACCCAAACAAAAGCAAAAATAAAAGCAAAATCTTTGATTTACTGGAAGGTACTTTAACAAACATTTCGTTATAAAAATGATTCTCCAAGGTAGGATTCCTTTGAAAGTTACCAACGGTGTGGAAGCAACCAGAAAGATCAAAAGTTCAGGTTGTGCTTCTAAACCCGCAGTGACATCGTGAACAGAGTGAGAGGACAGTGGCTGTGCTCATCTACCTCAGTAAGGAAACAGACACATTTGTGTAATTTCTTTAATTTTAGAATTTGAAAAAAAAAATTCCTCCAGAAATTGTTGTAGAAAAAAGTGGAAAATAGAGAGATGAAAGCTAAAAAGAGAAAAGGTTTATCTTATGAACAAGGCTGCAGTGAATGATCTTACACTAATTTTCCAGAATAAATTTCTGAAGCTGTTCGGAATTGGTAGGTACACTTCGTAGGATTTTTTTTTTTTAAATTGCCATTTGCCTGAACTAGGTATGTCCCAGTTTATCTTCTCCCCAACAAGGCACAAGATGCCCCGTTTCCTGTGCCCTATTCCTAGTCTACGTTATGGTTGTTTTCCATCTCTTCTGCCACATTGATGAGAGGGGATATCTTATTGCTGCCTTACTTTGCATTTCTAATCAAAAATGAGATGGAAGGGGCCAGGGAGATGGCTCAGTGGAATAAGTGCTTCCTTGGCAAGCCTGAGGGCCTGAGTTCAATCCCCAGTTCCGCAAAAAAAAAAAAAAAAAAAAAAAAAAGAGAGATGGAATATCTTTCTTATTGTGTTAGCATATCTTCATGATGTTGTCAATTTGTGTCCTTATTTATTTTTTGATGGAGTGGTTCTTTTTCTTCTGATTAGATTTGCCATTTTGTTTAAAGCATAGTGCCCTGACTTCTGTCCCTGCTGGAACAATCAGACAATTTGTACTGACTGAAAAGGTATTCTTGATACTCTTTTTCTCCCTTTTCCTCCCTACACCTCTTCTTCCTCCTCCTCCCTCTCTTCCTTCTCCTTCTCTCCCCTCAACCCCCCTGCTGGGGCGAGAATCCAGGGCCTCCCACATTCAAGGCAAGTACTGTACCTCTGAGCTACATCCCTGACCCCTCTGGCCTATTCTTTCTTCACGCATAGCAAATTCTTGGCAAGACAGTAGCCATAAATTACTAAAGGCACTACCATTATCCCAGTAGAGTTACTGGACAGGCAAAGCCATTATTACAAAAAGTCATAGAAAAATACCAAGTGTATATTTTCTGCTTAGTAGCTTGTGCACCCCAACTCCATAACTTGTGGAGTTCTCCACCCCCCAAATCCAGAACAGTTCTACTGACAAGTTGTTTTTACTAATTTTTTTTTTTTTTTTTTTTTTTCCCAGAACCAGGGATTAGAACTCAGGCCCTTGTGTTTGGCAGGGAAGCGCTTATTCCACTGAGCCATCGCCCCAGCCCTTACTAAATATATTATACTATCTCATTTATTGATGGATCCTTCTGCTGATAATTCAGATGCCATGGTCCTCACCTTTTTCTTTTAAACATTTCTTATAACATTTTGACTAAAAGTTGCTTTGCTTTTATGTAAGGCTCTCTTTGGTAAATTGTATTGGGCCTTGTGCTTGGAAAAATCTTGAATCTGCACAGTTTAGCAGGGGTATTAGCAGGAGAGATCCTCCCAAGAGTTGAAGCAGGTACAGTTGATCCTCTGTTGTGCATTTGCATACTCTTGGTCACTGTGTTAATTCTTGCTTCAAAGTAGATGATCCTGAAATGGGATAGAGAAGAGAAAGGAAGAGAGATACTCATTTAGCTAAGTGATGAATTAAAACAGATCAAAGGCCATACAAGAAAAGCTGAGTTCCGTAGGCTGTAGTGGTGCACATTTGCAATCCCAGCACTCTGGGGGACTAAGGCAGGAGGAAACAAGTTCATTCCCAGCCTGGGAAATTCAGCAACTCAGTAAGACACTGTCTCAAAATAAAAGGGTGGTGGTGGTGGGCTGGTGATATAGCTTGGTGGGTAGGCCCTGGATTCAATCTTTAGTATCACAAAAAGTAAAAATAAATCAATAAATGTTACATAAGATAAAAGACATTACAATATCACATATGATAAAAATGGCTAGTTCAATGGACCCAAAAAATAGTTTTCTAACTGGGAAAATCCAATGTAGACATCTTCTATACTGTGACTCCAGACATTCATTTTAAGTGAGAAAGAGAGAGGGAAAGTGGGGGTGGGAGAATGACTGATACTTTTCCTACGATTTTCTATGCCTTTGGATGTAGTAATCAAACAATATATACCAGGCATGATAAGCATGAGTGGTCTGCAGTAGGATTATAGGCTCCCAAGCGTTAAATGGGAGCTTAATTATCATCTAACTGAACCATCCATGCAGATATTCACTTTCTATGCAAAATAGAGCTTCACTTGGGTTTTGGGGAGGCTGTTACATGCCCAGGCCAACAGGATCTCCCTAAGCTGAATTTTTCATCCTCCTGCCTCGGTTGCTCAAGTAGCTGTGATTACAGACACGCACCTTCATGCCTGACTGGATCTTCATTTTTGAAGCAATGATATATCAGTCTTTGAACTGCATTATTGTAAGCAAAACAAGCTGATAAGCAAATTGGTCAGAGTGGCACCATTTTTTCCCTCTGGGCAGGAGGGAGGGAAAAGAAGGGTTCTGGCTTCACAGAGCTTATATAATAAACTTTTTGAATGTGCTGAACTTTTATAGAATAAAGAACCTTGGCTGCTGAGGAATAAGTCTCAAAATGTTACATTGTGCCACTCTCTCTGGTCCCTATCTTCTAGCCATTGTATGGTGGCCTTCAAAGGTAGATAAGGCAAAGCCAACACAAAATAGCCAAAGGAAAGAGGAAGAAAGAAGATAGAAGAAAAATCTTATCCCTTTCAACCTGTCTTTTCTCGACTTTTTAACAAAAGTCTTGGGTTACCCAGGGAATAGTTGGCTTTACCGCTCCTTAGTTCCCAGGTCAAGCTTTAGAGACAGTGAACCGAAGCCACCCACTAGCCAAGCTACTGAGGGTAGGTTCTAAGGTAACACAATCATCCTTACAAAAGCAGATGAAGGAATAAAGGGAGATTTGGGGAAGGAAATGGGATATTAATTCTAAAAATATACCTGATTTCCTCTGAGTAGTTTTGTGAATTTCAGGAAGTAGAAGAAACATCTTTTGATTTCCACTTCCACAATCTTCCAGGCACAATAACTGTATTTCTTCTTCTTCAGGTAATTTTCTATTCTTTGGAAATAGCCCCTCAACGCTAGTTTGCTCTGCTGGATGACCTGAACTTCTGAATGTTCCATTTCATATGTTTTCATTTCTTCTATATCTTTGTTTTCTTTCTTTTCTTCCCTCAAGCATTGCTTCAGGTATTCCTTTTGCTCAGAAAGTCCGCTTTTGATTTGTGTCAGGAATTCCTCTTTCCAAATGGAGTTTGAGGAGTGTCTGCAGAAGATCCTGAAGACCTGTGTGGAGATTTCATAGAAGACTTCCTTGATGTCCCTTTTCACAGGCTGGGAGTGTGAGGTGATATTTTGGGGCAATCCAAAAGTTCTGATGTCTCTTAGACATCGTAGAGGAAATGAATTGCTCATACTGTTGAGAAGTCTTGCATTCTCCTTGGTGACTGTTCTTAAGTGAGCGTTCTGTGAGTTACAGAACTGAGACTGGATGTGTCTAATGAACAAACCCACAAGGAACACAAGCCATAAATATTTTGGAGTCATATCAGCCCTGATACTCTTTTTTTTCTAGGCAAAAACAAACAAAAAAATCATGCCGCCCCTGGTTGACAGTGATGGTTTACATTCTCTTTCATGTGACTTTATATACCTGACAATCTTTAGCGGGAGGAGTTTTCTCCTTAGTCATTTTACAGTTCCCAAGCTTACAGGTCCTTTCCTTTGGCTCTGAGGCCTTTTTTAAAACTCTGAGTGACTCCTCTGACTTCAGATACTGTATTTTACTTCGTTTTGTTTTTAAGTGCACAGGCCTTACTGTTGCGTTACCCTGGGTGTCTAGATGACCCACCTCAGCACTGAAGAATCGTGTAGCATAATCAGTGCAGAGCCTGGGGATACAGTATAGCTGAGTACCAAAGAGAGAAAGTCACCCAACTCTGGTCATTACATAGAGAACAGTTCTGCAGGAAGTTTTATTTTTGTACTGGACACTATAGTCAAACCTCTCTCACTGAGATAATTATAAGCATTGTGATTATTGATAGCTGGGTGACTAGAGAAGAAGAGTTTAGGTTTTTCAAATCATGATAAATTAAGCTTTTGTATTTGAATATTTTCTCTTTTTATTTATTTATTTTTAAATCTTGAAAAGGATAAAGAACAGGCTAGACATGGTCATGCACGCCTGTAATTCCAGCACTCAGGAGGGTGAGGCAGGATTGCTATGAATTTGAGGCCAGCCTGGGCTCTATAGTGAGTTCAAGGTCAGCCTGAACTGTGTAGCAAGATGCTGTCTCAAGACAAACACACACACAATGAGCTGTGCTAGTCAGTTTAGCATGACACTTAGCAAGCAGAATCCTAAGCTGACTTGGTTTTCTGTTCGCATTGACAAAGGTTACTATTCCACAGCTATCCTTTCCTTTAGTTAAATCCATTTCTAGCTTGTGTTTCTTATGTTTTTGATGTCTTCGTTAGGAATTCTCCAGTGTGTCGTATATTTGAAAATGTGTTGTTGCTTCATTAGCTTCTCTGTTACAATATCATACTTTTTTTTTTTGTAAGACAGGGGGTTGAACTCAGGCCCTTGCACTTGCCAGGCAAGTGCTTATTCTACTGAGCCATCTCCTCGGCTCTAACAGTTCCACAAGACACTGAAAATTTGGCTTATTTTATTTTGTCTAAATCATTTAACTGCATCAAAAAGTGTTGGTTAGGCAGACTCAGGGACCAAGTTTCAATCTCCAGCCTGCCATGCCACCCCCCCTCCCCAGGGCATGCTGAGACAGGAACTGAGACTGAGTGTGGTAGCATGTCTGTAATCCCAGCGCTTGGGAGGCTGAAAACAGGAGGACCACTATGCATCCCATCTGTATAGTGAGACCCTGGACTAAATACATTAAAAAATAATAATAAAATAATTTAAAAATGTGTTTGTGTATATGGCCTACATCTGTGATCACACACACACACACACACACACACACAAAAGAAAAAAAAAATTACAACCCTACATGCGGATCCTGCAAAGCACCCCTAAGAGCTATAGCTTGTGTAAGTTCTATGTAGAATTTCTTGAGCTAGCCCTGTTTGAAGTGCTTGTTCTTTTGGGAATTTGCAGTGCCTTGTCTTCCTTCATTATGGGTTTTTGAAGTGGATCATTGTGCAAGTGTTGATGTCCCAACTGTTGCACTTCAGCTGGCCCTGATACATTGTGTACTTGCCTTTGTTTCAAGCAGAACAGCAGTACTGACGCAGGAAAGAGCTTGGTCAGTTGCCTGACTGAAGTTTGTTCATAGGTGGTGGAAGTGACCACACATTTGGCTGTCATCAACCCTCTGGAACTTCTGTACATTTTCTTTTTTTAAAATATTTTATTTATTTATTTATGTGTGTGTGTGGCCAGCTCAGCCCACCAGGGGGCGGGGCTGGCTGGCATGTGGTGCCAGGGGATTGAACCGCGGTCCCTGCGCTCCACCAAGCTTGCTCCAAGTAGTGCCCCAGACCACTGAGCCATCCCACCAGCCCCAGTACATTTTCTGCTATGCATGGATTTGACATTTAGCCCTTTCCCATTGTCATTCTGTATCACACTTGTGCTCATTCACTCACAAGGTAATTTAAAGCCTTTATCTTATGTAAATCACAGCCTGCCTCCCGCAGAAGATGTGGTGCCTGATCTTAAGGGGCTCCCAATGGAAGAAACAGGCATATCTAGAGTGTTTTAAGAAGAAAGGAGCCTAGGGTTTCCCACAGCACCGACCTCTTTCTTGACCCCACTCCTCTTGCTGTCAATGTTAATTGATGCTGATAGCGACAGTTTTCATGACAAAGAAGGAAAGATGTTTGCATGAACATCTGCTCCACTCTCTGCCTTTAGGATTGCTTGATCTAGCAAACTGACACACAGAGCACTCCTGGAACATTTGAGACACACCTGCCCTACAAAAAAAAAAAAAAAAAAAAAAAAAAATCATTCATTGTTTATACAACTTTTAAAATTACCTGGGTGCCTTTCTCTGGTAACGCTGTTTGTCCTGCAAGCTTCTATTGATCTCTCAGAGCAGAGTCCCAACACGACGCCCTCTTTGCAGGAAGCCACCCTTTCTCTGTATTTTTTTGTCTCCTACAAAGCAGCATTCAATTTTTTTGTTTATATGTGGGCTTTTCCTGTGCGCCTCTCCTAACGACAGTGTGTGCTCCACAAAGGGCATGTATACACACAGGTGTCCTCAGGTATGATTGCTAATTGTTCCCGTTAGAAGCACTATCAGATGATCCATCCCTTGCTCCTGCCTGTGTTCTGTAAAAGGCCAGTTAACTGAACATATCTCAAAATATAATCAGAAAATTGAGGGGCTGGGGAGATGGCTTAGTAGAATAAGTGCTTCCTTGGCAAGCACAAAGGCCTGAGTTCAATCCCCAGTTCTGAGAAAACAAAACAAAACAAAGCAAAAAAAAAAAACCATGAACGGATTAGCACTCATTGTAATTGATTCATGTTTAATTGTTGGACCGGAGAGATGGCTCAGTGGAATAAGCGCTTCCTTGGCAAGTGCAAGGGCCTGAGTTCAAACCCCCCCCCCCGTTCCGTTATAAAAAAGAAAAAAGAAAATTGAAAAAAGTGCCAGTGTAAGGAAAGAGCCTCTCTAGACACGTCTATCATGGCTTCTCAGTCGTCCTTAGAAGGATGTGCGTCAGTGTGCTCGCTCTGCTTCTGTGCTCTCTGCTCTTCTTTCCCTCGCCTGCATTGGGGTAGTGTGGATGTCTTCCCGCCATCCTTACTGGGAAAGCGCGTTAGCACAGGCTGCTCACGGAAGACTGAAGTCTGTGTGAACAGAAGGCTAAGAGTAATGGGTAAGATGCAATTTGTTTGACAAAAATGGAGAAATGAGGCATTTCAGTCTAGACGAGCTAACTGATTCAGCTTGGGCACAGGGCATCGGCTGTGAAGATTTAGTGCTTTCCGTGACAGTGCAAGCTTCAAGCCCGGTGAAAGCGGCACGTTGATCATTCTTGTTACTCAGCACCTGTGCATGAGTCAGCCATGAGAGCAGAGGTGACTGAGCTCGGGAGCCTATGCCCGAGGAGCTTGTGTCCCGAACGTGCAGCACTTTCCCGCTCACGGTGAGGATCATGCTCACCATACAGTCATGCGCAGCTGTTAGGTCTGGACCAACCCCGCACACTCCTCGGCTTTGTCACTGCCTTCCCTTTGGGGCCGGCCTCTCACTTGGTCCCCTCATCCCTTTGGAATGAGAGGTGTTACCTACCAGAACCATCCTGCCTTTTATCCACTGGGTAAATGTGCATTTCTTCCCAGCACATATCCAAGAAAGCCTGCATTTTGGGGAAATTGCCCCAGATGGAGTGGGTGGTGGACAGAAATGTCCTTTTGTCTTGGATTAATATCGAAGAAGTTGGTGTTGCCTGGATGGGCATGGGGAGAAGTGTCCCCTGAATTACTGTCAGTTTGCATGTAGTCATCATGGTTCTTCACATTTATGAAGAGGAAAGAAAGGCTTTATTACAGAAAGGCTTAGGTGGGCTTGCCTTAGCCTGGCAGAGGACTAGTGTGCTACACACTGTAGCAGTTCTTTAGTGCCTGAGCAGTCCCGGGCACTGGGAGTGGCATCTGGGAATGGTCTATACTGGGCTGTGGGTGGGAAGGGGCCTCTGTTCTTCTTGACCATAACCTTGTTCCAGGTACTCTGTGAAGTCCTAAGACTTAATCTCAGTATAGGATATTTGGACAGAAGGAATTCAGGGGGTGAATCCCTTAATTTGTTTAAAGTCACATTGCTCATTGGAAACAAAGTTGGGCTGATATCTAGTTTGCCTTGATGCTATCAGCCTAAGTCCTACAATGAGAGTGGACAACTTCCTTCCTCACCCCCACCCAGAGGAGCAGCCCTCCCATTGTTTAGAGAACAGGGATTATGGAAGCTCCAGGCTGTTCTGCTAGGAGATCCCACAGGAAGGCCTTAACTCAAGCTTTCCCTCATACTCCACAGGAACTTCTCAACTTGAAAAAAGCCTCTAGAAGGAGGACACCTGAATTAAGACTGACATCCTAACATTCCTACTAACTTATTTATATAGAATTATCAAAATGAAGACTCTATTTTCCTGCATCAGATCAGATCTAAAATCACTGCCCTAGAACAGTGGCTTAGAATGGGTTTCCTGAGAGATGTTAGCTTTCTCCCAATTTTTAAAAATTTTTTTTTAATTTTTTTGGTACCAGTACCCAGGATTGAACTCAGGACCTTACATTCCCTAGCTAGGTGCTTAAGCCACTGAACTTTCTCCCCAGTTGTTTGTGTGCTTATTTACTTATTTTTGTTTCCCATAGTATTTAATAATACTATTCATCAAGTACCTCAAATTGTGTGTATAGTTGTGTCATTGCTCACAAACTGTATTGAGTTGGTAGCACACAGTCAATAAACATTTAGTGAACAAATGTATACATTTCAACATTTTAACTTCTGAGTGTGTCTTAATTTAAATTGAATTTCCTATCAGTTCAACAATTCTGTTTT